TAAGGCAAAATGTGAGAGAGGGAAAAAGCGATCAAGACTTAGTAACAAAAAAAAAGAAATCTACGATCATAAAAAGAAGGAGAATGACTCAATATATTACGTAGATCTGTTTCTATAACGTCAGAATCAAAGAAAACAATATCTCAATTCCTAACAGTAAAATCATCCTGCCAAGATCTATTAACTATTGTTCACAGTAAAATATATACTCTAAATCATAGTCAATAATCTATTCATTTCTTAAGTTTTCATCAGCAGCTACTTAACATATTAATACTATGTAAATTCACTGTAGTTGTACTGTTATATAGAATTAACATTTGGAAAAAACCTACTGAATACCCGTGCCGAGAGGAAGAGTCGGAAAACATATTCTGAACGAAGAGGGTTTATCAAACACGCTAAACTGACGTCATTTTCACTGAACATGTTTTGAAGGGTTCTCCTTCTTATTGGACAGGTATTAATAACGATAACGATAAATGGTAGATGTATAAAATATATACCCAGATAGACCATTCCAGCGACTAGATCGGTTTAAACCTGGGGCGATTCCGGCACAGTTTTCGCCTATTCCAGTAGATTTCGGCGAATTCTTGCTGCCGGATCCCGGTAGAAATTGAGCAGGATATATCCGATGAGTTCCTGACCGTTTCCGGCCCGAAGTTTGCAGGAGCCGGACCTGAAATTACTGGAACCTACGTTTGAACTTCCGGCGACAAGGAAATCGTCGGAAAACGAACTTAACCAGTCGGAACCGACCCAGCCATAATCACCTGGGAAGATGAAAAAACAATATCTTTATTAGTATTTCTAATCATTACTGCATTTATTTTGTGTACAAAATTTGGATTAAACTAAATTATTAATTCAAGTATGTTTATTGATTTTTTAATAAAATTCAATAACAAGTAACTTTCATCGTTTCGACTCACTTATTTCTCGACGATCGAAAACAGAAAAAAAACTTTCTCTTCGCGGTCTCTTTTCAAAGTTGAGAATGTCGATAAGACTTGATTGTAAGTACACTCTCTACACTCTCATTTTCATAATTTGTATTATTTCACCTATATTTCTATTTTTAATTCAGAAATTGAAATGTTATGCTTACTCATAATTTGTAAACGTGTTAAATACGGAAAAAATAAGAAATTACAACAGGATACGGTTGATCTACATGAAAATAAATGTTTTATATTTAATGATAATAATTTTGTTATTGTAACAATTATTGGGTTATTTTTGACATAGTATAATAATATCTAATAGTCATGAATATTCATATAGAAAAGTATTTTTGTTAAAAACTTTCTCCAAGATGATTTGAATAACTTTTAAAATAAATATTTATATATTGTTTGATTCTTTTTAATTCGATTTTTCTTTTAAAAACTTTTAAAAATCTTTTTAAAAATAAATGCATTTCAAGGACAAAATTTAATCGTATTTGATGATATTTAATAAATTCCGATTGATGAAATCATTTCTAAATAATGATATCATTAATTTTGTTACTGAAAATAGATTAAATTTTCTACTATAAAAGTCCAATGTATTTTCTATTTATTTGTTTAAAATGAATACGACAACACTTTCTCCATGTATAGTTTTAAGCTGGTCATCCGATACAGCATCTACTCGTCAACCAACATTATACATTTGTATAGCTGCAACTATAATTCATACAATATTTTGGATTCATTTTTTATTTTATTCATCAGTTCGACAAAGAGGAATGTTTTGGCTTTATATGTATTTATTAACTGATGTTTTTCTTATTTTTCGATTTTTTTAATTTTATGGTCAACGTATTAACAGAATTTGTGTTCCAAGATCAGCACGTACAATTTTATGTTATTTTGAAGCAATTTCGAAAATTTATACAAATNATATAAAATAGTGTTTCTAATTCATATGTTATTTTACTTTTTTTTGAGATAGATTAAATGGAAGAAGATATTGTATTGATATGGTTGAAATCAACTACAGATACACCGAACAATATCGATGAAATTCAACAGGTATTGTTACATCAATGCTTAATTATATTCAAATTGCATTAGATCCAGCTATTGTTGCAATTATTGACATAAGATTTTATAGAGCTTGGAAAAAAACATTTACTAAAATTATAAGAAAAAGAAAAAGATCAAGACAAACTCTTCCAACAACAATAACAGGATTTGCTAGAATACATTAAGATTATTTAAATAACAATTTTTGCTCTGTCGTCTTCGTTCGTGCACCCTACATATCTATTTTACCTTCTTGAGAGTGAGGGTGTGGTGTGTGTGAGAGTCAAAACAATATACTCTCATCCATACACTCCTCTCAACGTTTTAAAATATTAACATGTCGTTTAACAAGCATAACGTTTTCTAATGTTTACTTTCCTCTCAATTTCGTCGTATATTTGTTGTAAAATTCTTTGTCATAAATGAAATAAGTGTCTTACATCAGTTTTGTTGATACGACATCACCATTGTTATTCAAAGGAGCACATGTTTGATTTATTGTATTCTGAAATATTTGAGGGGTGAAGGTGTGAGTGTAAGTATAACTCTTTAATTCACGCCCTCATTGTCATCCGAGATTATTCTTTTTCTGTTACTTTTTGGACCGCTGATATTTTTCCAACAAATACCGCTCAATTGCATTCGAAACCCGTATTTTTAATGATTGTATTGGAAAGCGTCTATATGGTCCGAAAAGCAATGAGAAATTTTTTTTTAAACTTCTGATATATATCATTTTGTACAGTTTTCAATGAACTCCATCGAATCATGTAAAAAAAGTCTAAGAAAAAAGAAACTTTTATTACATATTAATTTCTAAAACGTTTTGATAAGAATTACTATTTCGTATCACTAAATCTCGTTTTCGGTGTTAGTCTTTACCGAAAACTGATGATGATTTATCATTGATATCTATCGGTGTTCAGTAAATCATCACTGCCCCTCCATGCAAATGTAATCTTTTTATTTCGTATATAAATAAAATGAAAGATGATACGATTTCTTTTTTATTTTAATATCAAATGAAATCATTAGA